AGCACTTTATTTAAAACGAAAGTATATTGTTGCTTTCTGTATATACCATATTTTCTCTATTTGAATTAAGTCTATCATTTTACATAGATGGTGATTATGCTTATATTCAAAGTGCATGTACCTTTAAAGAGTGGAGGTCGTCACGCCACACCACCACACCACTGTGTTCAATATGGGTCCCATAGGAATGTATGCAACATGTTTATTAAAATACATTGTTTGTTTAAACAAAGTTCCGAACATGTACTGCTCTATGACTACCACCTTCTAATTACCCGTAACTCCTACCGTATTTGCTCTATCAGAAGCGCAACCACACAATAATAATAATAATGAATTTATTGCATCATTAGAAATAATTTCCATTGGTTGACAGCAATAAAATGTTAGTAATAAAGTACAATACATATAAAACTAAAGTAAAAGTAAAATGTCAGTTATTTCTGATTTCAAATATTTTGTATAAGTATTCACCACATGACTGTAAATACAGTAACTGTAATTCTGGAACCAAATCCAACCAAATTTGGTGTACATAGACTTTCATTTTCAGCGTAGGATTATAGTTAGCTCCATGTCACTGAACAAAATTCTTCAATGCATCAAAATATCTTCACCCAGGGAACCAGTGTAGTGGCAAAATGCTACTGAATAGCGCACACCCATTTGAAAAGTAGCATGGTGATGACATATTGGTTAAGAAAACATTTTATGTATTTTGCGATGATCCATCAATGGGTGGATTCATGTAGCGCCTACCTCTAGTTCCTCAGTATTGATTCGCAATCTTTGTTTGTCGATGTCAAGAAAATAGTGTTATATATGTACAGGTCTTTCAAGATGTAGCGAATTCCGTAAAAAGTCCATAGTTATTAAAGAATTGTTGATACTCCAGCTAAATCTGCTGATATTACACTTAATGAACTAAATTCACTGGTGTGTGGCTATTTCAAATTGTCTTACTTGCTTACTTAATAGGCTGTGACTGTCATGCAGTTTGCATTTGAATTTTGGATAGCACTTATATTGAGAACAAGACATTGTGTTGACCACCTCTTTTCAAATTAATTTGGATATTTTGGACAATAGAATTGTAACACAATCAATAATATCTCTATTTATACATGTGACTGTCGTGCATTTGAATTTGGGATAGCACTTATATTGAGAACAAGACATTGTGTTGACCAGCTCTTTTCAAATTAATTTGGATATTTTGGACAATAGAATTGTAACACAATCAATAATATCGTTATTTATACATTTTCATCCAAAACTCTGGACAGTGTTATTCTCATCGATATCCAAGGATGGTAGTTTCATCAATATGATAATATAAAATTATTAATTATAATAAAAGATACTATGTTATAAATTTGTTTCCAAGAGTGAAATACTATACTTGCCAGATAAAATTTTCCGAAAGGTTTTTCTGCATTCATTGCATTTCAATGCGCCTGTATTTTGCTCCCGCCTGGAGGCATTCAAGTCATTAGCATGTACAATCGATTGTTGCCAAATAAATGCCTTTTCATGAAAATAAATGTTCTATAGCCATTCTAGACATGATTGTATTGTCTCTCTTTTTAGTTTGTATAAAGTGACTGGGTTGCTAGAATCAGATCAATTTTCAACTGTCTACATACTGAGCACTTAGTCTCTTGTCCATGACTACAACTCAGCTTAACAGTATTCTTGTAATCAAGTCTGTCTCATTTACTTCAAAGCTGTCATACTGGGCCACATTTACTAGAAAAATATGAGATTTTAGGGGTCAACATAAAAAAATGTGGCTTTTAGTGATAATAAAACAATGGGCAATATATAACATTTCTGGGTCATTTACTGTCATCAACGTACCTGGGGGTAACTTTAGAATGAGGTTGGATAAGTGGTGAGCAATATTTTGCTCAACAAGTCAGATAAGTAATTTTTGTCAAAAGCAGCGAGTTTAAAATCAAGGATAGATCTTTTCATATCCAGAACTTTTACACTTTCTTTTTTCAGTATATAGCGATAATATGTATTTCCATAAAATGTTTTAAAGAACTCACTGACTTTTAAATATAAATATTAAATAGCAGCTGACTCTTCTACCCACCCCTATTTATTTCAAAGTATTACACAGGAACATTTTGCTCATTGTTCACAACGAGGATGTCTAATCTGATCTGGTGAGCACAATTTTGCTGACTGAATTTGTTTACCATTTACCTACCCTCCTTTAGAACAGTGGTTTTTCAATGAACTGGTCATAAACTAAAATGCCAATATACTCCATATCCTACATCTATCCACTATATGATACATGTGTAAAACACAATTACAGGCCATGTACCGAGGTAAGCATCTATTATTACATGATTAAAGATACTGTGAATAATAATTACCAAAATTTTATGTTTAATAATCATCTGCACATCAGGATAGTTTTACCAGATAGTTAATACAGCTTAATTTTCTAGCTATGCTATCTATCCTTAATTAATTGAATCTTACATTAAACATTATTTGCTGTTATTTAATTACTAATTAAACCATAAATGAATTCACATTATCTCCAAAGTTTGCTGCTAATCAAATATTTCTCTAGTTGTGTTTATTTAATGATTATAACAACCACTCTTACCCCATATGCAAGTTATTGCCAATTTAATGTATTTTTAATGAGTTTTTTTTTTGTCTGATTTAGACTTTCTTTTTTTAAATCCACAATCAGTATTCTCCCTAGGGCATAATAACATAGTTAGGTTCCGACACACACTACTACATGATTTTTAATAAAAAAGTAATTCAACAACCGCTCAATGTCTATATTGGTATGCCAATCAGGCATGACTATTTCTGGCCTTATAAGTGGAGAATATACATTGCGAGGTATACATCAGTTTGTTGCTGTCACTGTTACTGTGGACTGCCTTATTGTTGGAATTTTGTTGACAACTGCAATAGTCTTTAGACGTTTAGAGCGACAAAACCACAAGACTCGTTTTTTTACCCTCAAACAGTGTTCCATACCCTGGTTACATAGGTTAGGAGAACAGTGGATGAGATTATGAGAAAATAAATGGAATATTATTTGTAGGACAAAAACATGTCCTACGGTTGTCTCACACTAAACGATGTCTCAGCGTCCATTTGCACCTGAGGTAATATTTCAGTTGACGCATGTAATTTACTTTCACTGATTTGTCACAAAGTCCAATTATTCGGTAAACAGGGTATCTAAATTGATTTTATTCTCAATGATAACATTGAAAACAAAGTATTCTTTAGTATTAGGATTATTTTACCTATTAGTTGTCTATTTTAGCATTATTTATATACCGTAAACATATTCTAATTTCACCTGTCATATTCAAAAATCGCAAAGTAAATCAATATTTTTTTTTAAATATCTTTATATGTATTTTGAGAACAATACAAATGTGTGTATGATATTGGAGAATATGGATGTTTCAGATATGCTTGAATTAAAAAGGTATGATTTAAAGCCCATTTTTATCTCAAAAATGTCGGTTTTAAAAAAAGGGCAAGTTGAATCATAACATGATTATATATAGTAAATTAATAATTGCTATAAAGTATTGAAAATTCAATATTTGGTGAGTTGCAGTTTTTCTGAATTTTTCTTATTCACAAAATTTTGTCTCCTGTGGGATTAAAAGCTTTTATGGTTTAACTGTAATTAATTGATGAATTAGGTATACTGTATTTACATAGCCAACAGTACAAGGATAATGTTTTGATCAGAAAGAATGTGGGAGACTTAAAAATCAAAATACTACCGATATTCACTATTTGATTCAGAAAAAAAATTATGTCAAGCTTTCCGTCATTGGCAATATGCATTTTATTTACTCATTTTAAAATTCATGTTACTAGGGAGCAGACTCAACTAGTTGCATTTCAGATTACTGTTGCTTCTCAGCTGCAGTTATCAATTTACTCAGCTTCTTACAT